AACTCAATTTGAGAATGCTTTGTCTGAGTTAGATTCTGCTTTTAATGGTAAGTTATGTCTTGATGTTGTGACTCGTTGGAATGCCACTTATACAATGCTCCGAAAAGCCTTAGAAGCTAAGGATGCCTTGATTCTATATACTAGTAGGTTTTTGGGTATTTCTTATAGACTTGATGCTGATGAATGGGATACCATTCAAAAAATTTGTGATTTCCTTCAGCCATTTAATGATAAAACTGTGTTATTTTCTGGTACCGAATATCCCACTTCTAATTTGTATTTTGTTAGTGTTTTAAAAATTGAGTACGCTATTACTCAAGCCTTTAAAGACCCTAAACTTGCACCCATGGCAGCAGTTATGCTTGAGAAGTTTGAGAGTTATTGGGAGGATTATAGTTTGATACTTTCAGTTGCTATTGCTCTTGATCCTCGTTATAAGTTGTTTCGAGTGAGACATATGTTGAACTCGTTGTATAATGATGAGGCATGCGACGAAAAGATTATGATGATCAAGGAAGCTTATTATGACCTCTATAAATTTTATTCTACTGCATCTAATACAAGCTGCAGAAATCCTGCCTCTTCAAACACAGCTCAATCTGAAAATTCTAATCGCACGTTGAGATCTCAAAATATTTTCACGGTATTTATGTTATACAATATACTCAATATTAATGGTAGTCTTCTATTTTTATTTGTAATGTCATAATTTAACTTTTAATAAAAAAATCTGTTGCAGTTGCGTGAGGTTGATGACGAATGTGATGATTCAACTAGTTGCCCTCTGGCTGATCTTGAGGCATATTTGAATGGACCTCGTTCGCGATTAATTCAAGGGGAACATTTTGACGTTCTCAAGTATTGGGAATCTCAAGCTTCTTCTCTTCCTATTTTAGCTAATATGGCAAGGGATGTTTTGGCCATTCCTATTACATCGGTGGCCTCTGAATCTTCTTTTAGTTTGGGTGGTCGTATTTTGAACAAATATAGGGGTAAACTTTTGCCAAAGAATGTTGAGGCATTGGTTACCACCCAAAATTGGTGCCGTGGTTATCAAGCGGATGTTGAGGAAGACGTCCTCCTTATTGGTAAAGAGATTGAAGCCAAAAGTGCTTCATCTGCATAACTGGTATTTGTGTCTCATTGTGGTTTATTTTATCTTGAAAAATCGTTGCCCTTGTCATTTATTTTCAGACTTGCTGGCAGCATTTTTCTAGACTTTTAAAATCGTTGCCCTTGTCATTTATTTTCAGACTTGCTGGCAGCATTTCTTAAGTTTTTGTTAAAATAACCATTGCTCGGTGATGTAAATCTGAGAGCAATTTTAAAAAACAAAAGCTATAATTTTGAAGTTGCTTGAACTTGTTATGAGCTGCTGCCTGCTGGTAGTGCTTTTGCCTTTTGGTTGTTGTCTCTGCTGAGTTGTTATTGCCTATATTGTTGCCTGCATGAGCTGGTTCCTGCCTCCTGCCAGCTTGAGGTGCTGTTGTTTGGGGTAAAAATACCCTAAACACGTGGCCCAATGGCCTAGTGACACGTGGCGCCCAGCCGTTGGTCAGCAGGGCTCCAATCCTCTGCTGACACGTGTCCTCTAAACCCTAAAAGGGGAACCATCCCTTCCCCACTATAAATAGTGGAAGGACCCTCATTAATGGGCATCTGGAACATTTATTATTCACATTGAATACTCCTCAAAAAGAAAAACACTTACCCCGAGCAATATTAATTGCAGAATTCTCCCATTACGCGAGAAGTAACTTCTACATTACGTGCATCCTACCTCCCGTATCTTTACTAACTTGATCGTCGGAGGCGGAGCTCCTACCCCCAGGAGTCTTCGTGATTTTGCAGGCACAGGCGTCGAAGGGCATTCTTGGAATTGTAACTCTCCCGCAGGACACATCAAAAAACCCCGAAACAGCTGTGTTGCTGCCTTTTGTGTTATGAATTTATGATAAGTTTTGTTGCTGCTGTTTCTTATGCTTGCTGTTTTAATTTTTCTTGAATCATCGTTGCCCTTGTCATTTATGTTGAGACTTCAATGTATATGTACTTGCTGGCAGCATTTTTCAAGTTTTAAGTTAAAACAGCCATTGCTCATTGATGATACGATAAACGTAAATCTGAGAGCAATTTTGAAAAACAAAAATAAGTTCCTGCTGAGTCCCTTCTGCTTATATTATTCCTTGCTTCGGATAAGTTGCTGATCTGTTATTGCGTGTGCTGGTTCCTGCTTGTTGCTGCTATTTCCTCTGCTCTTGGGTGCTGTGCTGCTGCTTCAAGATTCTGCTCCCAAATCACTCACATTCTCACTCCTCCCTTCATCTTATCATGTATCATTTTTTGCAACCCTAAACTTGATGATGTTTCAGTTGATAAATCTGAAATCTAATCTGGGTAGTAGTGATAGTAGTTTCATTATGTATTGGTATATGTATTGTGAATTTTAATCAATGAAAATGGTGACTTTTTTTAATTGCTTGTTGATATTACTCTAATTTTAATGTTATTTATCTCCAATCTTATGTTATCTTATTGGATGATCATGAATATCAAGGAACAATGAAGATAATTTGGGAGGACTAGCATTATTACTGGAATGAAAAGATACAAATGATATATCTTGTAATTAAAATAAATAAGTAATCTAAAACGATATTAATAATGCCGTTGGCCTAGATCTAGGTGATATAAACCTTTGTATAAACCTAAGCCGTTTGATTAGATCTACATTTATTAACATTAATTATTTAATTGTATTTACTATTTAGCCATTTAGGTTGTAAATAATTCAATTTGAATTAAGCAGTTTGTAATCGGATAAGTTTAAACAGGTTGCGATTCGAAAACAGTTCGATTTTAACGGTTTAACGGGTTATGGCAGTTCAGTTTAGACGGTTAGCGGATTATAACGGTTCGGTTTATACGTGCGGTTTAAACGGTTTCGGTTCATAAACGGGTCGGTTTAAACGGTTAGCGGGTTACAAATGGTTCGGTTTAAACGGTTTTTTTTTCGGTTTAAACGGTTTCGGTTTATAAACGGTTCGGGTCATTAATGGGTTTATAAACCATTCGGTTCGGTTTCGTTTCGGTTCGGATTTGCGCAGTTTGGTTTGTTATCGGTTTACGGTCCGTAACGGGTTGACATTGAGCGGTTCAATTCGGTTTCGGTTTGATATTGAACGGTTCAGTTCGGTTTTCGGTTTACATTTATTGGTTTATAAACGGATCGGTCCGTGATGGTCGGTTCGGTAACGGGCGGTTTCACGGTTCGGTTTGAAAAGTCCCACCCCTATATACATGTACTTGTACTTTTTATTTATCTATCTTTTAAAATAATACGGAGTAATTTCAATGTTACTCCGTAGTATATGTTACGGAGTTAAATAACATACTAAGCGATGTGAACAAAAGAGTGAAAGACAGTCCTCACTTGCAGTAGGACGGACAGTTGCATTTGGGAGAGCCTGAATCTTGGGACACAGTAGGAATGTAAAAGGTTTGAGTGAAAGTATTCACCTCGTATTTTAAGTGTTTTACCAACACCGGGAATTGGTAATAGCTGCAATTCATTAAATGCTCTAACCAATCTTCTTTGATTGTATATTAATCCTCTGAAGCCTCTGTTTATCATTCAAAAAAGTTCAAATCACCAGCATACATGGAGGTGCTTCCACAAGACATCATTGTCAACATACTCTTCCGGCTACCTTCAAAATCAATAGACAGGTAAGTAGAATATGTTTCATTTTAACTACCATGCTTTCTTCTTCGGTTCTTTAGTAGGAGATCCCTACTTTGGGATTTTGTATGAAAGTACTATCTTAAATTTTCTCGCTTTTGAGCAGAACCTTGCAATGAGATTTTTATGTTAAGTGGCTGCTCATGTTTGGTAGCCTTTATGTATGTTAACTAAGTTTTTCTCAAACGCTTTTATTGTCTTTGTGATTGGGATAGTTGCAAAAATGCTGATAAATTTGCTTTTCACGCTATGCTTTTCGGGATAGTCCAAATCTCTGGGATTTGGGGGGACTGTTGCTTCCCTCTCACTGCCAGTTGTGTGAGTAAACTATATGTGCAATGTGCTTCTCTGTCAAAAATCAAAACATGATACGCAGGACTGATGTTTCTGATCAAAACACTTACAGCCTAGTAGAGGCTCGGTTTCACCGGTATATATAACAATGTACACATAACATAGTTGCATATTCAATACTCTGTATATGAAAATTCTTCAGAAACAGTACGATGCCTAGTGGTTCGGAAACCAACCAACCCCATGGACCTTCAGGTAGTGTGAATGATAACAGCATATATGTAACTAAATAGTTGGGTTAGCCCTACCCGTCAAAGCAAATTACTAGAATGACAACATTAGTATGAAGAATATCGAAGCAAATAGTTCATCAGAATCTCAGCTATTTCATAATCACATAAGAGTGCATGAGGAAAACTTAGCAAATTTTGTGACATAATGTCATACAATCTACCTGGAAAAGAAGAAAAAAAGAAAAGATTGCAAGAACATTTGGATAGTAGTGTAACAGTACAAAAGTAAAACATTACAATTTTCTGATAGTAGAATGGCTGGCTACATGTTCAAGATAGCGAGTTAGGGTCCTTGATTGAGATATAAGTACATGAGTTCTGGACACCATGAGAAAAACCAGAGCATCAATACATAATAATAATAACAACGTAAGAACCCCAGTTAAAATGGTACCAACCTTAGGTCACCTAATAAACCCATCACAAAACCCATTTCATAATACGGAAAGAGAAATTTGTCCTACTAGTACATATAATACGGAGTCGCTGAGATTTGTAGTAAAAGAAGTCATTTCATCAAATCACAGGACACGGGAATTAGTAATTATTCTTCATTGACAAACTAACAAAGCAATGCAATCCTTAAGTCTAGAAATACACTTATACAACAGAGATGAAAAGGTTGAATAGTTCACATGATCATAATTAAACCAGAGGAGCTAATAATCACATTACGCGAATTCAATGGAAGGAATGTGTTGAATGTGGGGCCAGTCCTCTCCGCTTGGTTCTTGGCATCTTTCTTTTAGCCGCGTTGAACAATTGCTGACTTCAAGCTCTCTAAGAGAGGTGAGTTGGGAAATCCAATTCGGCATTGATTCCACTTTTTTGAAATTGATAATAGTAAGGGTTTGGAGGGAAGACAAGTACTGTATCCAATTGGGCACTTTTACAATCCGATCAAGATCATGTAATTCCAATGTGCGAAGGGATTGACAAAAGGATACTCTTTCTACTTCTTCTGATTCATTCAAATTATCGCAACTGCCAATTGTTAACTCCTCTAAGGCAGAGAGATGCTCTAAACCTCCACTGACTACACTCTTCAAATTATCGCAATTACTAATTTCCAAGTACTTCAGGGAAGCCGAACAGCTACGAAACACCTCCATAGCTTCTCCCAAACTTTCCACCTTCTTGTCCGCATATATGATAAGCATTGCACCATCATGAAAAGAGTTCATGGGCAGCGAATTAAGCCATGCCACATTGTCGATTCTAACCTCCCTTAAATTGGGACCAATTTCATAAGGTGAGGCCTCTTCCCGTGATATTGGTATTATTTTCAATCTCTCATTGAATGACATTAATTCCAGCATTTCTAATGCAGGACACTCCAAAATAGCTGTTAGGTTTGGACATCCAAACAACGTTAATATTTTCAATTGAGGAAGTCGTAATTGTCCCAAATGCTGCAATTGCTGACAATAATAAAACTCTAATTGAACAAGATTAGGGAGAAAGGTTGCCAAGTTATAATTGTCCCTTGCCCAACTTGGCATTCTCACACCTTGATATCCAACCATACCAAATATCTTGAGATTAGAATGAGGCTGCAACTCCTCCATCACTGCTTCTTCATACTCCCTTCTTTCATTCCAGCCGAAATCAATGTCCACTTCTTTCAGATGTTCCTTGTTCACCAGGCACCCACCTTCCTTTCCACCATTTATTTTATAACCTGTCTTCATATATCGAACCTTGATATCAAGAGAACCTTTCAAGTTACTTAGAGCTTTTAGATCTTCCAGCCCTTCAAGTAAGTTATTCTTACTTGAACTCATGTCTCCCAACACAAACGTATTAAGAGTGTGAAGGCAACTCAACTTACGCATGCCCCTTGGCATATACCTCAGCTCATTACATCCAAGTAAATCCAAGACCCTCAACTTAACCAACTTGCTCAAATCTTTTGGCAATTCTTTCAATTTCTCACAACAACTTAAGTTTAAAGTCTGGAGATTATATAGTTTTGTAATAGATCCTGGGAGAACTTCTAGACCGCTAATCCATGAGAGGTCTAGGTACCTCAAGTGTATCAGGTCACCTATTGAGCCCGGCAAACTCTTGATTCTTGACTCACGCAAGTCCAATGCCCTTATATACTTGCAATTACCTACTAATGCAGCCACACAAAGCTGATCACAATACGACTCATTAGTATGAAGAAATGAACGTAGGTGGCTCTTCTTATTAGTAAAAGAGAAATTATTTGTAGGTCTAATAAGAGAGAGATGGCGAACTTTTTTGTCTACATCCCCATTCATGGTTTCCACTCTGCAAATCTCCTTTCCCACAACTTGTTGAGCAAGATCATGCATTAAATCATGCATCTTACATGACCAAATGCTACCGTCTCCGTCTTTCTTCACGTCTTGCAAGAAACATCTCCGCAACAAGATCGAGAAATATTCCTCAGCAAGATCTTCCGGACTCTGAGGATCATCCAATGGGATGTAGCCATGTGCCATCCAAAGCCTTATCAATGTTTCCTTCTTCATCACATAATCTTTAGGAAACACTGCACAATAACAGAAACAACTTTTCAGTGGGGATTCAAGCTGGTAGTAACTCAGCTTCAATATAGGCATTATGTCACTTTGGCATGCTTTTGCTAATCCGAGCTTCTGAATTGAAAGCCACTTTTGTTTGTTTTGGCCATAGAGAAGACTCCCCACCACTCTAATTGCAAGAGGGACGTTTGCACATTCCTTAACAATATCTTGGCCAATTTCAACCAAATCTTCAGAAGAGCTTGAGTGTTGTGATCTAAATGCTACTCTTCTAAATAAACACCATGAATCTTCCCTTGACAGGCCTTGCAACTCATGTGTTGGACCGGCTCCAACGATTCTCGCTGTCTCCCGTGAACGTGTAGTCACAACAATCCAACTTCCCCTCTGGCCTCCCATCAAAAATTGTGTCAATGTATACCAACTATTAGGATTTTCAGTCCACACATCATCCAAAACAAGCAAGAATTTTTTTCCAGCAAGTTTTTGTTGTAGTTGGATTTGCAACTGATCCATGGTATAGCCCTCATTCATCATAGGACCTGTAGCTGGAGCTAGAATCTTACAAAGAACCCCTTTTATGTCCAAGTTTTCATTTTCATCGGCAACACAAGTCCACAATCTCAACTGAAATGCAGTATCAATTGTGACTCTTGCATCATTATACACAAGTTGGGCAAGAGCAGTCTTCCCCAACCCACCAATCCCCACAATAGAAAGGAAAGAAACATTTTGTTGAACATTAGGATCAAGCAACATGCTAACAATCTTCTCTAAATCAGCTTCTCTTCCAATGATATCAGCTTCATATACATAAGAACAGGTCTCAAGCCTTCGATCCTTAATAGGCTTAGGATCGATGCTCAAGCTGAACCGCGTATCATGAGCAATAGCATCCAGCTTACTCTTGATCTTCTTCACCCTCTGAGTCATATTGTAAGCAGTACCAAACTTGGTAAAAAGAGAAAGCACACGAACCTTGATACCCTCGGTGAGCTGCTTACGCTCAGCAAGAGTGACAAACTCATCGAAGAGATCATCGGCTTCATAAACTGCATCCTTGAGCTCTTCAATATAGAGTTGTACTTGTTTGGACAGCACTTGTTTGGCCTCAGCATCCTCAGCATCCTCGAGCACAGCTTTGATTCTTACGACAGTGGCACGGAGCTCACCGAGTTTGGATTTGTAGCCAGCAATGGAGCAGATCTCATTGAGCTCAGAACACTGCAGCGCTGCTAACAAAGTTTGTGCAACAGACATGGCTGTTCCAATGTCCATTTTTGATTTGATTTGCAGAAATTTGTGCGAGAAAGAGGAGAAGAGAAGAGTGATAGTAAAAGTAGTAATGGTGAAAATGGGGTGATAACCAAATACCATCCAAGTAATTGTATTTCAACAGTTATCCTAACATCTCAATTATTGAATCAACAAAGTCACTTTCAAGCCAGCTGTAATTGCTTCCACTTTTCCATGTTGACGTTGATTTTTCATTTTCACACTTGTAAATAATAGTGATATTGAATTATTGATGAATGGTGACAGTTTTGGTAGTAAGTAATTGTATTTCAACAGTTATCCTAACAACAATAAGTGGTTCATATCAATTATTGAATCAACAAAGTCACTTTTCATTTTCACGCTTGTAAATAATAGTGATATTGAATTATTGATGAGTGGGGACAGTTTTATCAGTAAGTTGTAATTTCTTCTGATTTTTCCATGTTTATAAAGTTGCTATTCCATTTTCACACTAGTGATACTACTGCTGAGTGGGGACAATTGTATCAGTAAGTTGTAATTTCTTCGAACTTTCGCTTTTAATAGGTTCATAGAATTTATGCCAAGCTAATTTTATTCAGATGCGGAGTATATACATAAGGAATTAAGGAGTATTGATATTATGGAAATACGGATTATAATAGAATGAACATATTGAACAATAACATTAATTTTAAATTGATAAGTAAAATGAAAATTTTAACAAGTGAATCATGCAAAAAAAATCATAATGTGTCCCTTAAAAAATAAAGGAAGTAGACTTTTAATACAGAGTAGACTTATAAATTTCAAGCCAATTAAATTCAGATTAATATGAAAAAATAAAAGATAGTAATTGCGTCATCTTTCACGTCTCAATTATTTCATTAAAAACCCAGCGAGCGTCTTATGTTTTTTTGCCCAATTATTCACAATTTCACCCCATGGAGTACAATACTGTTTATGAACCACAATTGTACAAGATATACCAACCTTGACTAGATACATTTACTTTTGTACAATGTATAATTTTTAAAATTCGTTCAAAAAAAAAAAAAAAGTATAATTTTTAGTATACTTTTGTAGGCAAGTTTTAGAACTTTCAACTTTCAAGTGTTTCTTTGAATCAAATAGGAAGCAAATTTTCATGTGTTAACTTGCTAGGAAATTACATACTCACTCTTGTTATGTTGGTATTTATAAGTCATTCGTCAAGAAATTGACTTGAAAATTTTGATTTCGTCGATAATTGGGAGGGTAAGTCACTTTCCATGTCTCATAGGATATTTAACTTCTCAAGACAGTCTAATCAAATTTAAAGACACATTCATATTTTGGATCATCCAAATTTCTAAGTTAACAAGATTTTTTTTTGCAAAACATAGAATTAAATAGTATGGAGCAATGTAATTAAATAACTCAAATGACCAGCATCGTAGAACAAACATAGGACAATCCTAGCTTAGCATTTCTGGCAGTAAAGAAATTAAAGTGTAGTAAATCAAAATTAAATAAACTATTTGTCAAAAAAAAAACACTCGTAATTAAATAAAAAGAACTGAATTAATAGTATGGAGCAATGGAGGTTAAAGCAAATTACCTGAGATTGGTGACAAATGTTGTAATTTTGTCGAAATTTTACTAACGAAGTTAATGATATTTAACAAAAACTAAACCTGAATAAAACTGAGATTGGTGACAAATGTTGTATAATCTGATCTGATATGTTTATTACTGAAATAGCAATAATCTTGACTCTCAAATAGTTGAATGTGATTGGGAAGGTTAGGGAGTGTTTCGATTGGGATTGGGCAAAATCAATTCTGTCAATGTGGCTTCCGCATTCAATTGAGGATGATTTCCTCTACTGGAAGTACCATCCCTTGGGTAGGTATACGGTTAAAACCGGGTACTACTACCTATCAAAGGATTTGGGGTTAGAAAGAGCTACTTTCTTGGCAAGGGATCAAGAGTTTATTAAGTTGGTTTGGAGAATGGATATCCAGCCAAAGTGGAAGCTTTTTCTGTGGAGGCTCTTTCATGATGGCATTGCAGCCAAAGTTAATCTGGCTAGAAAGGGAATACAAGTTGAAACAGTGTGTGATCACTGTGGGGTGGACGTGGAAGATAGCCAACACCTCTTTAGGTTTTGTAATCAGGCAAAGGAAGTTTGGGAGAATGGCTCCCTAACTATTTGCCCTGACTCTCATGGGTCCAATTCTTTGAAAAGATGGATTCAACACTATATCCTGCTTTTTTATAGCGAGGATGGTAAGCAGGGTACCCGTTGTGCGTTGTTTATTGCAACTCTATGGGGTCTATGGAAAACTAGGAATGCAAGATGCTTCAAGGGAGCTTCGGGGACTACAAGCTTAGTGATGGAGTTTATAAATCTTGCAATGCAAGATCATGAAACTTTTACACAACAAGCTAGCCCAACAAATGAGTCGGAGGCTACTAGTAGGGATAATCTAATCATACCACCGGGTTTTAATCACGTTCATTTAGGGAAGGAAAAGATTGGTTATGATGATTTCATTGTGGAAGCCAATGGCTCCTGGGATAAGAAGACTACGAGAGCAGGAATTGGTTGGGCAGTTAAGACTAATCCCCAAGGCTATGCCCTCGATGAGGGTGGAAAACACAGAGCAACAGCATCCGTCATTCAATGTGAGGCTTGGGCTTGCCTAGAAGCAATGAAGTGGGCTCGAGCTAAAGGCAGGCACGGAATCCTTCTCTTATCTGACTCTATTTCCCTTTTGAACAACTTACAGGATAACCCTGGCAAGGAGGTCTCGATAACTAGGATACTAAAGGAGCTAAGGGAAGTGGGGGCTTCTTTTCAAAGATGCACGATTTTAAAAGTTCATAGAGATCAGGTTCAAAGGGCGAATGATATCGCAAGATAATGTTGGGCTACCCTTTCTAATTTGTTGTAATTTTGCTCGTTCTCCTTTGCTTTTGTCAAAAAAAAAAAAAAAAAAAAAAAAAAGTTGAATGTGTTAAGTTACCTCCATATGATATACTCCCCCCGTTTTTATAAGTGTTTCACTTCGATTGGATGTAGGTAATGTTGAATTTTGGCTAATAGCATATCTTATTTATTAATAATTATAAATTAGTAAAAATATTGATATTCTAAAATTATACATTGAATTTTTCGCATGATTTTGTTTTCACTTTTTTTTTCCTTGGTTATATTTTACTTGACTTGTTTCATTTATTATGTGTGTCAACTAATGCGTAAGTATAACCATCGGTATATTTAGCTATCAATGAATAAAAATTAGTTACTAATTTTTTTTATAAAAATTAGATATTGTAAAAGTATTTATTAAGACAATTATAACAAGATCTCAAATGAATATGTTTTGTTGATGAATCTCCATTGTCCAGCCTCATTTATGTCAATGTATGCACCTAAGGCTATATTTGGTGTTGTATGCACCTATAAGACTATATGTTATGCTTTTGTATGCACCTCGTCAATATGTGGTATCATTGTAAACATCAATTTTATACTCCGTATATAGTTTGTGGTTTGTAGTTTGAACCAAAAAACATATTCGTATTAAACATTACAGTGTGGATTGGTTTCGTTTCAAAATTAGGAAACTGCACCTATATTGCAAAGCTCGGTTCGGTCGAAGTTCCATTGGTTTGGTCAAGGTTCAAACTGCACAACAAAATTGAAAACCACAAACTGCACCAAAACTGCCAAAAAAAAAAAAGAAAAAAATTAAATTAGTTGACGGTTTGGTGTGCTCTAGATTAGAGGTGATCAAAGTTAGCCCAGCCCGGTTTTGGGCAAATTTTTCGGCCCGAACTAAAATTTATTTATTTTTGAGCGGGTTTGGGAATGCGTTTTTATGCATATTTTTAGTTGATTTTTTAAGCCTAGGCCGAAAATGGCCCGAAAAGCCCCCACAGCCCGACCATTCTAGGCGGGTTTGGGGCCAAAAAATCCGGCCCAAAGCTTGGACCGACCCGACCCGAGAAGTGGGCTTTTTTTTGGCTTCTGCCCCACCCGCCCAATGATCACCTCTACTCTAGGTCGCACTCTAAACACCCTTTGAAACATACAAAATATAATACAATAAAAGTAGTTATCAAAAAGTCACATTAAGAATCCTAGCTACAGAAGTTTTAATTTTAATTTTTTCATATGCTGCTCATTATGTGCATCAACATATTAGTCTTCTGTACCTTCTTTTTGAACTGTGTTATCTTAGTAATCAATAAATTTCTACTGATGTTGTGTTTCTTTACCTATTTTTGTGGAATTTAAATAGATTGTCAATTTCACTAATTTAATTATTTTTTCAATTAAATTCTCCAATTGAGTCAACAATAAAAATATGAATTAAAACTTAATACTCGTAAGAGTTACTTTTTTTTTTTTTTGAATAGAAATAACAGTTATGAAGACACCAAAAAATGTCTCTCCAAAACTAATCCCGATGATGAACAACCTTTCACCGCCATTATTTGTCGGGTCAAGTATTTAATATCGGGAGTGCTTAAAATCCATGTTCAGTCAAATACAACACACAAATCAGTCCAAACATTCATTCAAACTCAATCCAACTCACATTTTAACCCAAACCCTTTTTAATTCATTTCGTTTTATTTATTAATTAAGCCCAATTAATAAATAATAAAACCCTAAGCCTGAAATTAGTCCGGAACAGCTGGAATGAACCCTAATTAACACGTGCTTAATGCGAAAGAAAAAGGTTAAAATGAATTTAGACGAATTTCTGAAAAACAGATTTGCCGTGTCATGGCAGAAATGCCGCGCCACGGCAATTTTCATGCCGTGTCACGGAAAATTTCACCGTGTCGCGGCAAATCCTGCCGTGACGCGGCAATTTTTAGGGTTTCCTCCATGGCGCATTTCATTTCTAGGGTTTTGTGCATCACCCTGTTCATTTCCTCTACAAATACGAGGTTGTTTCCTCATTCTCGGGGCACCAAATCATTCTCTCTTCTCTCTTATGCTCTGTTAGATAATTTAGAGT